CCCTCTAGAAAGGCATGAGTCTCCTCGTGGAATGGGGGCTTGTGCACCAGTGGGGTGCAACAAATATTCGCTCGGTGAAAACTGAGCTGCCCCCCACCCCCAAGAGGAACCGGGTTTCTTGCTGTGCAGTGAGTGGATGGAGCCAAGGACCAAAGCCCCAAATCAACAAGCCCGGGTTGAGCGTCCCTGATCCAGTCTGGGCCTCCCGGGTCGGCCCCGGAGTGCGGCGACTGGAAAGGAGGTGATCTTACCTGGCCCCTTTTTCATGTTTGCCTTTTATTTCTGGGTTCGGGGAGAAGGCGTGTGTCCTCCCCCGTCTGGTAATTTGCCTGCCTCTTGAAAGGAGTGAACATCCGCCAAAGCCTCACTCCAAGGATTTGGGGATGTCGTTCCAAGAAAGGCGGGAGAAAGGCCACCGCCGCCTTTGGATCAGGTCGACAAGCACAGAAGGAATCCAAACTCCACGCTCGAATGAAGACGTTGACAAATGAGCCGTCGCAATCCGCACATGCCAAACCGGAATATGTCTGAATCTTCGGGTATTGAAAACTCACCTTTGTTTTTTTTTCAGGTGTTTGCCCTACTCCACTCCAATACATGTATCCCTTATACAAACCTATTTCGTGGTAGCTCAAATCCTCCCATGCCCTCCGTGGCTCTGCTCAGCACTGAGGACGCTGCCGACCCACAGTGTGCGAGAGAGACGTGGCCATAGACCTGGGGATCGTATGGTAGAGCGTAGCAGCGTAGCAACTTCACTGCTCCAAAGGGCCAAGTAGAACGTGTTGCCGACAGGGTAAAGGCTCGAGATGTTTCAAGGTTCAACCAAATGGCCGGACAGGCTCGAAACGCACATCGAAATCTCCTGTAAGAGTACTGGAGCAACCGTGTGGCAACATCCCATGTTTCCAGTAACTCCATTTGGTTCCCAGTGCCACACACCTGGCTTTTGAGGCACCGGCAGCAGCCACACTCGCTCCTTGCTAGTAAAGCTGTCCTGGCGGGCTGCTGGACAAAGGAGGCCATGTTGAACGGGCAATCAACAAGGCAAAGAAGCAAATGCCAGTAAAGCCCTTGGATGCACGCAATCCATCTTGACGTCCGCTTCCGACGTCAGGGTTCGTGATCCGTTTCGGGTTTGCATACTCGTTCGGCGTCAGGCGGCATTTTTCCAGGGGTTGATTCCAACCATTCTTTTCAACCACCCTTCTTTTCAAAAAACAGCTACTTTCCCTGGGTTTGGTGAGGTGTTCTAGAAAGAAGGATCCCCGGAAAGATTGGAAATGGAAGGTACCCCTACAATTTTAGCCTTCGCGGAAGTGCCGAAGAGGAAGGGACAAATCCCTCTCATGGCAGGACACTTGGGTGGCAAGGCTAGCCAAAACATGGCTTGTGATAGCTGGCTGGACAACTTGCTGAACGGCGTGTGAACTGCAGGAACAACTAAAGCGCCATAGGTGGCCTTTTGGAAAAATAGATGGCCCTGGTAAATGGAATAAACCCCATCTAAACCAGGGCCCTTTATTTGTTAGCAAACCAACCAAAAAGGACACCTATGTAAAGGGCATCAGTCCTCGGTAGTTGGAATGGAATTGATCACCTCGGGCGCGTGGCTCACTGGATGCTTTGCTAGTGTCTTCCAATCAAGTCGCCGTCGGAACCTATAGAACGTATCTGATGACTCAGCAGCAAAGAGTTCGACGCATGGCATCTGATCTGGCTATCTCAACATTCTGGACAAGTATGTACCCGATCTCAGTGACTACCTTTGTAGGTCACCAGGTTTTAAGCTTGTCAACCAGCAGGTCACCCCTCGTCACTTAAGGTCCACTTCGGATTTCAGCGAGAATGACCGTGCGGATCCTTACGCGAGTCATTTCGCCACCAAAAGTAGAGCCATCCAGGTGATTCAGCAGAAGCTCAGGATGGCTTAGTTGTGAATGTTTCCTAAACCAGCATGGCTAGGTCCTCCAGTAGAGAGGTTACCAGGGCACCAACTTTTTTCTGTACCTCGGGACCCAGGGAGTGTAGCTTTGAGAAACACCTTCATAATGGCACCTAGAATTTCCGTGCTTTCAGTTTGCGTTTTTTTCTGGCCAAGGCGCATACAACAGGCGGGAGATGATGTGCAGCGGTCGATTCCTGACTTTCCGAGCTGCTGTCTTGCTCCCTGCAAAAGGATCGCACCCCATTTTTCACTCCCGAAGTCAGAAAGGGATGTCCGAAACTGGAGATATCTGCTGGCCCAAAAGACCCTGCGTCCCAATATGATTCACAGCCCGTGGCCGCCCAACACCGGGCTTTCCGCAACTCTGGAAGGATGGAACCAACACAAGTCGTGACATCCAAGTCATGGATTCGTCTGAGACACTCCACGTCAGACCATCCTAAACATTCGAGATTAGGACCTTCGACCTCGGCGAAGAGGCGACAGTGGATTGCAAAGGGATCCCGAAGTCATGGTCCCGGAAAAACAAAGTCTAACAAAACTGATTATAACAGAGAACCGTTCATTTAACATAATATTGAGCGCTAAATCTACTGGCCGACTCTTCTCACTATTGTGGGCATGAACTTTCATTTGGAAGAGTCTGGACATTATTCCAACCACTTTGGAGGTGGTTCCCCAATGAAATTGATAGCAATGTCAAAATCCCAAGGTCACTGATTGGCAACGGATCCTCCTGTGTAAAGTTCCCACAAAACAGTCGACCCATTTTGGAAGATGATATCATCCTTGATCTGGCATCATCCATGGGTGAACCTAGAGCGTGAGGCCATCTCCTTGTTGGGACCGGCCAGCTTTCCTGACTCAATGTTCAGCCTGGAAAATCACAAGGAAGCTGTCTCGTGTCTTGCCCATTCCTTGGGAGGATTCCAGTTCTTCCCCCAACAGCTAAAAGCTTTGGGTCTCAGCCCAGGCTTCAAAGTGATCCGGGGCGGCTCTGAGGTAAGGTCAAAAGTTGGCGATTCTCCCGGAGCTGCGGGAATCTGGGTGAAGTACAATAATGCACAAACCTGAAATGATGTAGTTGGGGGGTTATTCTCTACACAAACCACCATTGGGGTGAAGTCGTGTGAGCTCGTTAGAATTCACCCAGGGGAATGCAACGTTGGGCATGTATCACTCGAGCTTATTTCGAACACACTGGAGAAGCAGCAGGCCCGGGTCAACTGCCCGGCGCAAAAACCCGCCCTGTTCACGCCGCAAACCCCACATGGGTTGAACTAAACCGAACTCCGAAGACGCCGAAGAGGCCAAAAAAAAAAGTACTTCGGCCAGGTCAACTGGCAAAAGCAAAACACACCGGCTGCAACATAAAGCGAACTCAGAAATAAAACAGAAACCTTACATACAACCCCTGGTATGGTTGCGAACACACTTTGTTGCTTGAAGCCCCGTACAAAAAAATGGACAGAACCAAACCAAAACAAAAACCTGCCAACAACAGCGAAAGAAACCCCCCCAAAAAATGAAGACCAGTAGACTGCAGCTGCAACATAACCCAACTTCCGCAAATACCACGCCCAGCTGGCTCTGAGCACCAGGCGAGGGAGGGGCGGTATGACGGGCTACCGGACCTCACGCACCGCTGAATCTGCGTGAAGAGCGAGATGGGTGGCGCCTTTGTTGTGGGTACCCCCCTTTCTGGTTGGTTTAATTGGACACCAACAGGGAAGCGCACATTTTGGGGGGGGTCCCCCAAAAAGGAGACACGCAAATGGGTGATACATAGATTGTCTTCACAAAATAACAATTCCCCGATCCCCTTTTGACACCCTCGAGAAGAGTCTGGCTGATTGGTTATTCGAAAGCAACTCTGAGGGTTGTTTATGCCCGCTTGCCCAGTTGTTTGTTGCCCGGAAAGGAAGGCTGTTGGGTTGGTGCTTGAGTAAAACATCCACCTGAAGGAACTGGTGAACGACCTCCTCTCCTACCTTGATCGCGCAATGCCTCTTTTGTTAAAAGCGAACCCGGACACTACTTGAAGATCAGCCCAGTCAGGGTCTGGGTCAGAAAAACAAGGCCCCCCTTTGGGCTGCCCTTCTCAGGCAGAGGTGGAAAAGGTACACCCAGGGGTCTCAGGCCTAGGGTTGCCGAGCATTTGAGAAGTGGATCAAGGCCCATTCTGGGCATGTGGCCAATGTGCATCCCAATGCAAAAAGGACCCGAGTACAGTCACGCGCCCTCCTTCCTGCTTTCCTTTGAGCTAATACCAGAACAGTCCTTGTTTACAGGTGGCGCAAAAAAGCACCATGCCACGTTACACATTTGCAACATACGAGAGAGACGAAGCATCACAGAGGCCAAAACGGCACAAATAGCTATAGGTCCTCCAAGAGGATAGAATAAGGGTACCAACTTCTTCTGTAGTCTATTTTTAGTAGGGGAACCCTCCCAAACCAAGAAAGTGGGTGAGAGGTCGGGCACCTAGCTGAGGAAACCTAGATAGCAAACAGCTTGGGCTCCTTGGCCTCAAGCAACCCTCCCTGCCTGCTCGGCTCGATTGACCGCTCAGCTCTACTCGAGCTTGATGCATCTCCTGACAGAAAAAACGCAGCCACTGACTATGCCTCGGGTGCGCTGCGCATCTGTCCTCCCACCCTTCCGCTGCCTACCCGCACGAGGTTGACCCATGGCCAAGAACCACATTCAGCTTGGAGTGAAATGGGTGAGCACTACACAATCTGCCTCCCAACCGATCCACGTGTCGATTTGATCATAGGCTGAGGTGGAGTCAGTAAGACACATATCCAAAAGGAGATCTACACCTAATCAACACAAGCTTTTGGCGAGGCAAATCAGACTGCAGAAATTCCGCATGATCGTACTAATCAAAGGATACCCTGAAAGTGCCTTCAAGGCTGGGTAACAGATCAAATCCTGGTTTACCTGAGAGAGCTCACTCATTTTATCTGCGGACACAAACAGACCCCCTCTCAGATCCCCGAAGCCCAACTAAACAAACAAACAAGCTAAAAGCCCCAGCGGACCGGATTCATTAGGTAACCACCCAATGAATACGGAGCTCAGTTTGCTTGGCCCATTCGCGCTCCTCCAGCAGCCAATGGAGCCGCTGCTTGAGGTTGGTGGACTCCTCACAGTCCGAAACCGGCGCATGTCATGCGCTGGGCGCCGGGCTCTCGGAAGATGCAATTGGAATCCCCGACTCATCATTCTGGAGCTGCCCTTCCCCCAATAAGTTCGGCCTATTGACGCATATTGAACACATATACACATAATATATATATATATATGCTATCCCCCCCCCAAAGATCGACCATTCCTGTGATTTGAGCAAGATGCGGTGCATTATTGCAGTACCATATATATATATATATGTATATATATATATATATGTATATATATATATCCCTAGGGTCCCATGTACGCTATATATGAGGTCTTTCTAAAGACCCCGGGATTGGACGCCCCGATGTCAGCACCTCCAAATTCAAGGTCTCAGATTTTAGAACCTCCTGAAAGCATTCAAATTCAAGGCCTCAGATTTTGGAAGGGTTTTTGGGGGTCTTGAAGTGCCAACTCGACCTTGAATTTTGAGGTTGTGGTTCAAGCTGCGGCATGTTTCACTGACGCGTTTCCAGAATCAGCATGCACTCATTAGTCCTCAGGAGCCCATGGTTTGCATCATGTTGACTTCATTCACGGATTTGGGGTGGTCATAATTGCAAATCAGTATGAGTGGACCCCCAAGGCATGACCATGCACATATGCATGCATGCAGCCATGGCCGGCACCGCATCAAGCAGTGCCCCTGCCACCTCGAATTGCGGGATGCTTTGGGTCCGGACTGGTGCGGAAGTCCTGCTCCAGCCTGCAGGGTTTGGGGGCTGATTTCATTTCGCAATATTGCAATGGCGGGCCAACCCTGGAAGTTTCAAAACCCTTCGCCTCAGCAACCACTTCCTCAGGACCGACTTTTCCAAGCTGAAGCGTTGCCCCTGCCCCGCCAACCTCTTCATGAACTGCATCGCGCTCTCATCCCGAAACGCGTGAAACTTCGCCATGCTGTAGCCCTCACTCTTCAGGTCCACCAACAAATGATGAAACATGTGATGTTTAGGGCGTATCTGCCACCGATACCTAAGCTGCAAATTTTAAAGGAGCTCATCATCTTCAAGTGGTTGCCGGGAGAATGCAACACCAAAACTCGGGTCAATCAAAGTGATACTGATTTGCCGAGAATCAACTTGGCTTCCACCGAGTACATTGCCAGTTTCCAGTACCAGCGCAGGTATTGAACGCCAGCTTGGTAGATGCGATCGCTTTCCTTGGATGGGTGAAAAAAAACCCTCAAACGCGGGCACCGTAATGGATCACAACGACATTTTCAAAGTGCATCTGCCCCTGTGGCCGAATGGTTAAGGCGCCAGTCACGCTGCGGTTACGTGGGGAGCTACGGCTGTACACGATTGGAGATGCGGGTTCAAGTCCCGCCAGGGGTATTCCGTTTGTGCCACCCTTAAATTTTGACCCTGCTGGTTGGGGGTGAGAGTTGAGGTTGTTATATTCAAACTGGGGAAGAAGATATATATGTAATATATATACGAGTGTGTGCGTGTGTGTGTCTCTCACGCCTGGCTGGCAACACGTGGCTGCGCTGGTGAACCTTAACAGCACGCACTTCTTCTACGAGGCGGTCTTGACGGCTCTGAAGCCGCTGCACGATGCGAAGCGGCAAATTCAGCGGCTGAAGCTCGAGGAAGTTTCTTCCTGCAGCAGGATGTTGTATGGACCACCATCGTGGTGAACATGAACTGAATGTGCCGCTAGGCACCCTGAGAAGGGCAACTAGCCCCAGCTGGACAATTCTGATCTACCAGACGACTACAATGCGGAGCAGCGTGCAGTTGATACGTGTACATAATTATAATTCAGGATCAGTCCAAGTTAAGAAGGAAATTGAGGGGTTGGAAGGGTTTTGAAACCACAAGTTGGATGGGAAACTGACGGTTGATTGATGAGGGTTGGAAACTGAGGGGTGGCCGATTGCATAAGAGGTTGGGCGGCTGTTGGAAGTTGAGGGTCGGCTGAAATAATTTCCTGGCCATAGGGTACCCGTTGAATATGGAAACTAGCGGGTTGCTTTGAGGGATGAATGTCGAGGGCTGAAAGGTCGGTGTTGCAACGAAGCCCACATCTCGGAGGTACGCTCGCGCCCATGGATGTGGTCCGGCTGTCCGGGGCCACAGCTGGGAGTTTGTGGCCATGGGGACACTTTTCAGCATGCGCCCGATGTTTGGACCGTTCCCTTATTTTCAAAATGAAATTATCGGCAAGTTTCAGCATCGCCCAAGTACCGGTCGCTCGATTCCAGAAGGCAATAAAACAGATGTAGCAAATAAATACACTGAGCTGTCCATGCCAAAAGCTGTAGCTCCTCCGCGGGATCTTTCTCCATCGATTCCTTCAAGAGGTTGCACGCCTCGTTCGCCAAGAAGCTGGTGATCACTCTGGAGTTGTAGGCCTTGAGTACAAGCTCGGACAAGATAGCAACAGCTAAGAAGGCCCGAACCGATTTTTTGAAGTGTTGTACCATGTGGCCAGCACCAAAGTCGGGCAAACACGTGATAGTAAAAACACTTAATCCGCAGGAAGGGCACCTTGGATTTCAGCAGGCACATGTCATCGCTGTTGCTAACCAACATCCAGGCTTTGAAGGCTGGCTGGCTGCACTGAACTTTGTTTGCACGACGCCAATCCTTGAAGTGGCCCCATGCAACTGACATTTGGTTGCTCAGCGGTGGGGGCCCATACTTGCCAAAATCGATCAGCGTTCGAAGCACTGACCCATTCGTATCCAAACCGCACCCCAGCTGCACTGTATGCATGCTACAACCGCGAAGCATCGACCAGTCAAATCCTGCAGTCCAAAGAATCGCATTATGATGTGGAGAGGATAGGTCCAGTTCTGAGTCCAAAAACTCCTGAAAGCAAAGGAGGCCTTGCGCCCAAGCTGGATCTTCCCGAAAATCCCATAGCGGAGTGGCGCCGGCTTTCTTGTTAGCACAGCATCTGTGACAAGCCCGGTTTTTGCGCCAGTGACTGTTCACCCCCCAGGTCTCCTGCATGAACTTCCAATCGCCACGCACTTCTGTTAAGCGAAACCGGTGACCTGGGACCACTGGGCCTGTGGCTTCTGATTGCCACCGGTTGCCAAAAACATCAACCTCGGGGTGACGATTCAAGTAGAGGCAGTTGATGCTCCAGGCCAAAAATTGCCACACCGGGCCAAGGGTTCGCATACCTAAAGATTTCGCGGCGTGCAAGCAGAAGACCGGGAACCTTGATTGCCACACTGATTTCCTCTTGCTGTCCCATAAGGGGTAACCTTGGTTGCAAAAATGGCACCAAACAAACTTTCGGGAACCAGTCGAGAGGGCATGTCAAAATGATGCAATATTAAGGCTTGCAAATTGCAAATAGAAATGATTGGTTGCCCTCGTACTGCAAAAAAACAGATTTTACTTTTAACCAAGCGTCTCATGAATATAGCCAAGATTTGTTCTCCACTGTCGGTGTACTTGGCCTCATCTCCGTACAGCCCCAATGGGTGAAATACTTCTCCACCACTTGTGGTAGATGCCCCCTGCGCCCACTTGACACCCCGGGCCTTCATGTGCTCCCAGAACTTGGCGGACTCACCTCATGTGGACCCATAGCCAAACGGTGTGATGTTTCCCCCCCACAAAAGTCAGCTGCAAGTTAGTTTCAAGTTCGCACACCACTCAACCAAAGCACTTTGTGCCACATGTGAAACCCTTCAAAGATCCACGCACCAAAAAGAGTACGGCCATATTCGCAGATAATAATACACCCAGCCACCGTTGTCCAGCTCGACGATGCCCTTCCGCAGCAGCCAAGGTGTGAACTCGTGCGGCGCGATGATGGGCAAGGTCCTCGGCGTGGCTGGTGTCAAGCACATTTCAATTTTGAAATGGCCCCCTATGTGATCAAGCTGGCAGTTTTAGCCGGGGGTTCACTCTGATAGTGGCTTTCATGTTGGCCAACAGTTGGGACTTGGGTGTCTACATTTTGGCAGCCAGCGCTGGTGAAAACACATTCATTTTTTAAATGGCCCTCTATGTGATCAAGCTGGGGGTTTTCAGGTTAATCCAACAGTTGGGACTTGGGTGTCTACATTTTGGCAGCCAGCGCTGGTGAAAACACATTTCATTTTTTAAATGGCCCTCTATGTGATCAAGCTGGCCAGGCAGTTTAACCGGGGGTTTTCAGGTTAATCCAACAGTTGGGACTTGGGTGTCTACATTTCGGCAGGCAGCGTTTGAAGCACCGTTTTGTTGGCCGGCCGCTCAATGTCCTTCACCTCAAGGGCAATCGTCCGCATTGGAACCTTCAGGGATTCAAAACGCAGCTAGCAAGCGTGCCCAATTACATATATGAGATAGTACTCAATATTGCAACACTGATCAAAACATGCAATAATGTTGCAAGGTTCGCCAAAACGAGTAAAACGAACTCACTGCTGACAAGCTTCACCATCCCCATCAGTTGCCAGTCTTGTGACATCCCGCTGCATGTGTCCAGCCACACGCCCTCTTGCCCCACAGCGGGCCAAGGCCTCCACCGATTGAGGAGCCGTGTTCCCCAGCTCCTCGGACAACAATGATTCCCCTTTGCACGGGCGGTTTATCATTTCGTTGCAACACGGGACACCCTGCTTTAGAGATTCCTGGCCGGCCTGATTGCCGCACATATACTGTAAAAATAAAAACACCCGGCCCGGAACCGTTCTGCATTATGACCGTTGTAAACAAAGCTATTGGGACAAGTTGCGAGGATGATGCAATTCGCGATGTCTTGGGCAGCTACGTAGCTCCATTCCTGATCAATCAATGTTTCTTTGCAGCGTTCAGCGAGCCCGAACACCAACTTTTTCAGGGCCGGCCCCAAAATGCACCAAACCTATCGACATCAAACTCTAGCTTTGCGATCAGACCATGGCCACATTGATTTCGTATCGAGTAGGCCTAATCTCTATAATATAGACCCACAGCTCGGTTTGTCTCGCGCGCTGGCAACATGCAAATCGCACTGCGGGCTAGCAGCATCCAG